CCTTTAAACATTAGCCACATCATTACTTTTATTGTTTATATTGTACATTAGATATTTAAGATTACATTTGAAATACTGTCCCATAAGAAAAAGACAACCAACAACTTAATCTAGAAAATAAGAAACATACAGAGAATTTGTTTGAGGATCATAAGCTATTATAAGAAGTATTAAAATCTTTTAGGCCCAATTTTAGTGGTAACTGATTTTAGAAACTGTTAGAGAGTAGAATAATTACAACCCTGGGAAGTTGTTCATGCTTGTAATCCCAGCATCCTGGGAGTCTGAAGCAGAAGGAGCAAAAATTGGACCCAGCTTAGGTATTTTAGCAGTCTAATTTAGCAACATCATGTCACAAAATAAAAACTTTTTATAAGGGCTGGGGACATAACTCATTGCGAAGGCTCTGGATTCAATCCCCAGTGCTGCAAATAATAATAAAATATTAAAGATTTTGAAGAAATTTGTTACTAAAATTTATCTTAGCCGGGCATAGTGACACACCTATAATACCAGCACAAGGGAGGCAGAAGAATAACCATGAAGTCAAGGCTAGCCTGGGCTGCATATGAGACAGTGTCTCAAAAGAAAAATTTCCTTTAATTTAAAATAATGTGGGGCTGGGTTGATAACTCAGCAACATAAGTACTTGCCTGGCAAGCACCAGGTCATGAGTTTGATCCCCAATACTGCAAAATGAATGAATGAGTGAATGAATGTTTATATTTATCATACTATTTTTATTCTTTATTACATGTTTAAAACTCGTTTTGTTATTTCTCCTAAGGTATAATGGGATTGCAGTGGGCCAAACATCTTGGAAATGCAGTCAAAGTCACAATTAATGACTTGAATGAAAACTCTGTAACATTGATTCAGGAAAACTGCCATTTAAACAAATTGAAAGTTGTGGTAGACAATAAAGAAAAGAAAGAGAGTGATGATAATCTTGAGGAAGGAGAAGAAAATCTTGGTAATATTAAGGTGACCAAAATGGATGCCAATGTACTAATGCATTTGAGATCTTTTGATTTCATGTAAGTTAAAAATTTTTGCCTTACACTTGTTAAACAAATCTAGAAATTAAAGGAGATATAATAAAAGCTTTTGTTAATTTGTTAAGTGGACATTTAAAATATATTTACAAACTTTTTTAATCCATGGCATCAAAAATTTATTATATTGGTATAGTTTGGATTTCTAATAATGAGTTTAAATATGTTCTTATTCTCTCTGATTTTAGACACCTAGACCCTTTTGGAACATCTGTGAACTACCTAGATTCTGCATTCAGAAATATAAGAAACCTTGGCATAGTATCAGTGACTTCTACAGATATCAGTTCCTTATATGCCAAAGCACAGCATGTTGCACGACGTCACTATGGATGTAACATTGTCCGAACTGAATATTATAAGGAACTAGCAGCCAGAATTGTTGTAGCTGCAGTGGCAAGGTACCAAATTGCCCAGTAGGCCTGGTGTGCTTTGGTAGATGACTAAAAGATACAATGGGTGTTTACTTTATTTTGCAAAGCTTGCATGAATTCTAAACTCTGTATTACATATCTTTCATTTGACTTGATTTAATCCATTTTTAATCTATCTAGTAATAGAATTTTGTTGCTACCTGGAATTTTATTCTACATTTTAAAATACAGTAGTAAGCAAGGAAAAAGTAACAATTTCAAGTCTTTATTTCCATAAGATAGATAAGAGATGGCACCATGAAAAAGAAAGATACGGTTTTTAGATTGAGAAACAATCTTATTTTATAATATTTTCATCTTTATACAGTTTGAATAAAATGATAGCTTATAAACTTAATTCTGTAAAACGATCTTACAAAATAAGTTCTGTTTTCTCAAGATTTCTAAACAGGAAGACTTTGAGCACCTATTGTATGCAGAACATTATGCTTAAGAAATAATATATAATTGAACCTGTAGGTATAGATAACAGCTAGCTACCTCATTTCTAGCTCAAACACAAGTTCTACAGCATTTTAATGGAAATGACCCTTTTATTTTGAGTGTGTATTAAAGTTATATAAATGACCTTCTGAAAGCACTGCTACTACTATACCTTGAATTTTCCTTGATTCCTCATGACTTCCCCAGGATTTACTGTCCAGTTCAACATTGTCACAGTAGTGCTAAACAAAAGGATATATAGCACTCCAAAATAACTTTACTGTGTCTTTTTAGAGCTGCAGCCCGATGTAACAAAGGCATAGAAGTACTGTTTGCAGTGGCTCTGGAGCATTTTGTTTTGGTGGTTGTGAGAGTTTTGAGGGGACCTACTTCAGCAGATGAAACAGCCAAAAAGATTCAGTACTTAATCCATTGTCAGTGGTGTGAAGAAAGAATTTTTCAGAAGGATGGTAATATGGTAGAAGGTAAATTCAAGTTCCTCATGAATAAGTTTTTACTTATACATCCTTTGACTTAACAGATAAGATTTGGAGATTTTATTAAAAGTTATTTTGGGGGGTTGACAAGATAGCTCAGCGGACTAAGCGACTGCATAGGCAAGTACAGGGACCAAGGTTCGATCCCTTGCACCACATGCTGCGCCAGCCCTGCCCCCAGGTGCACTGAGCCAGCCACTGAGACCAGGCATGGTGACATACCTGTAATAGTGCTGGGGAGGTTGAAAACAGGAGGATCACTACAAGTCTGAGCTGCATAGTGAGACCCGGTACCAAATACATTTTTAAAAGTTATTTTTTCATTTTGTATAATTTATGCTGTAGCCCCTGCCCTCTATTGAAACATCTAGCTATAACTTTAAATTTCCACTGTCAACTGTTTTTAGGAATATAAGCCAGGCTATCTTTTTGTCTAGACAGTTACAAATCAAAATAATGTTCATGTTTTTGGATACACATAAAAAGCTATGGGTTAAAAAACGTTCAGTAGGCGGGGGAGATGACTCAGTAGAATAAGCGCTTTCCTGGCAAATGCAAGGGCCTGAGTTCAATCCCCAGTTCCAGAAAGAAAGAAAAAAAAAAAAAAAGAGTTGTTTCTCAGTAAAATTATTATTAAAAAAAAAAAAGTTCAGTAAACATTTACTGAGTCTACTGTGTCAGGCCTTAGGATACAAGGGAAAAGTTGTATCTTGTGCCCTCAGAATTGTTTTATTTAAGTTCTAGGGTGCTGAGGATTGTTTTTGTTTTGAAACTAGATCCCTCTGTATTGTAGGCTGTCTTTGTACTTACTAGACCTTCAACTCAATCAAGATCCTCCAACATCAACTTCCTAAGTTCTAGAACTGTAGATAGCATGCCTCACCACATCCATGTAGTTTTCTGTATTTAACAAAAAAATTTTATTTGTAAATGTTTGCAGTTCATCTGGCTTACTGTCATCTTGGGGAGTGGTTATATGTACATATTACAGCTTGGGGATTTTTTAGTGTTTTTTAACCCTCTTCCTACCCCTCCAAATTCCCTATCCTATTTTTCATTCTTAATGATATTGTTAATTTTAACTCATGTTTATGGAATGTAATATTTACATTATTTGCAGTTTCTAGGTTCCTGTACATGGTGTATCTTGTTTCCCCTCCTCATTCTTAATCCTTGTTCCCTTGGACTACTTCTCTGTTGCAAGAGATTAATCTCCTTGTCCTTCTATCATCCATCCTTTATCATTTTCTTTGTACTTTGCCTCACTCAAATGAGAAATACCATACATTTAAGCTTGTGTGTCTCATTTATGTTGCTATTCAACATTATATTTTTCAGATGCATCCATTTTCCTACAGAGATCTCAAATGTGTCTTTCTTTATAGGCCAGTAGCATTCCATTATATATATGTACATACCACATTTTCTTAATCCAGTCATCTGTGGATGGGTATACAGGTTGATTCCAGGATTTAGATATTACAAATTGTGCTGCTATGAACATTGGTATGCGTATATCACTGTAGTACTGTATGCTATCATAAGTTCTTTGGAGAAGATACCTAGCAAGGGGACTTCTGGGTCATATGGAATTTCTAATTTCAATTCTTTGAGAAAACTTCATACTAATTTCCATAATGGCTGTACTGGTTTACATGCCCACCAGCCCCTAGGGCAGGAGGGTTCCTTTTTCAGCATTCATTATTGTTTGATTTCTTAATAATTGCAGTTCTATCTGGAATAAGATGGAATCTTAGCATTTTAATTTGCATTTCTCTAATGACCAGAGATGTTGAGCTTTTCTTCATATATTTGTTGATCATTTGTATTTCTTCCTGAAGTGTCTGCTTATTTCTCTTGTCCATTTCTTGACAAAGTCTTCAATTTTAGGTAATGTAATTTTTTTGAATTTTCACATATTCTAGATATTAGTCTTCTCTGAGGAGTGGCTGACCAAAATTTTAGGGATTTGTGTATTTAATACAAGTTCTGTTTTGTTTTTTGAGACAAGGTCTCACTATACAGTTCAGGCTACCCTTGAGCTCACTCTGTAGGCTAGGCTGACAAACTCACAGTGTTCCTCCTGCCTCAGCCTCCCAAGTGTGTGTACCACCATGCCTGGCTTCAGCCTTCATTATCTTATACTAAAATGTATTTGAATTTGTTTCTGTATTTTCCATTCTGTTCTAGTGATAGGTCTGTTCATTCATGTCTACCACACCATGTTCTTTTTATTTGGTTTACTTCTTGGATTTTGAAAATGAAGTCTTACTAAGTTACCCAAGCTAGTGTTGGACTCTGGCTCACATGATTTTCCTGAGTCATCTTCCTAAATAGATGATACTGCATGCACATACCATATATGGCTGCACCATTTTTTAGAGGCTCTTTAGTGTTACTATGTATGAAGGCAGTCCATCCTGAAAGAGGTTTGTTTTCAGTGTTCCTGGTATTGGGTTTTTTTTGTAATAAAAGAATAACCCAGTTGATATTTTTTGAGCACATTAAATTAGGAAAAATAGATACTCTGTCTTTAAAGCTTACTATGAGCATAGTATGCTTTTCATTTTGTTAAGAACTTTAGTAATGCATGATGGTGGAAAAAGAGAACATCCTGACATGTTTTTTACTTTAATAAGATCTCACAAGTTCACTGTACAATATAATTACATGAGGTAATATTTTCATTTATAAAAAGGGCCAGTGAGATAGCTTAGCAGACCACGCACCTGCTTAGGCAAGCGCAGGGACTGGGGTTCAATCCCTGCACCACATGCCATGCCATCCACACCCCCAGACATGCTAAGCTGGTCACCAAGACCTGGCGTGGTAGTGCACACCTGTAATCCCAGCACTGGGGAAGCTAAGATAGGAGAATCACTGAGTCCAAGCTACAGAGTGAGACCCTGTACCAAACACATAATAAATAAATAAATGATAGATAGATGTTAGAGACCTTGTTCCTATAATCATCCTATAAGCATTTTGGGTATATCTGTGACTGGCTGGTTGAATCAGGCCATTCTAAGAAAATGAATGATCATCCTAGGACTGGCCTGGAAGTGGGAAAGGTTAGTTGGAGTTTCTTAAATGACTATTTGAGGGTTGATTAGAGTAGAGCACTTGTCTAGTGTTCGTGAAGACCTAGGCTCAACCCCCAGCACACCCAAAGAATAAAAATAAAGTGGCTGTTCTGGGCCTCCTGTAATAGACTATTGCCCCTTATTTTGGAAATGAAAAATAATGTTTGAACCTCCCTAATTTCCTTGTGATTATTTCTGGCCTTTCATCGTTCTTTAAAATGAGTTGAAGGGCCGGGGAGATGGCTCAGTGGATTAAGCGCTTCCCTGGCAAGCGCAAGGGCCTGAGTTCAATCCCCGGTTCTGCAAAAAATAAAATAAAATAAAGTAAAAAATAAAATGAGTTGAGTGGTTCTAACATACATTTTAGGACTGAATAGGAGTCAAGTCTATTAAAATAGAGATAGAGTAACTTATTTTTCCTGTTATAGAAAAGCTGACTTAAGAAACGTTTGTATTTTGATTGAGATGCTAGTTACATAGGGTTATAGATGTGTCAGAAT